GGGACTCCCATGATGCACCATCTCCCCTCTCCAAAAGGGGGCGACTGCTGCATCATAGGAGAGGAGAATGGGAGCACGAAGCACCCAACCTACAACTCTCAGGAGGCAACAGTTTTCAATATTCAAATTTCCACCGAACAAACAATATCCGCTGAGGGAAAACAATCCTGTTTTTCAACCAGTTTTCCCCCTGAGTTCTCCTCTGGCTATGCCAATACTTTGTTGGGCCCTTATGCATAAGTACATTGGAACTATTCATGAAGTAAGGCACAATTCAGTAGAAGGAAGTCTGGCAGAATCGGTATCATGACTTTTCACTGCCTCCGCTTGCCTTTAGGTATTACGGCAATGGACCCAAATTAATTTACCCATTTTTAGAAAATGGGATGAAAATACATAACCATCTCACAGGCATATGGTGAGTCTTAATTGTCCGTAAAGTGCTTTGAGAGTGTTAGATGAAAGATTCCTTATCGACATGAAGCCTCATTATCAAATAGCAGTAATTACTGGACAGCTAATATCTCAAAGCAGTGGTTTTCAACCTTTTTTTTTCATTTCTGGATCCCTAAAATTTCAAATGGCGGTACAGATGCCTTCGGAAATCTTAAACATAGTCTGTGAACCCCCGGGGGTTGGTAGACCACAGGTTGATAACCACTGTCTTAAAGTAATTTCAAGTTGGAGTATGCCATGCCAACAGGGCCGGTGCTACCATTAAGGTGAACTAGGCGGTTGCCTGGGGCGCCAAAAAGCGGTGCCCCCAATTTTTTTTTTTACAGTGTTCCTCCCGAAGCGCGCGGTTGCCGCTCCACTTCTCCCGCCTCCCAGGTTTGCGGCGCCAATCAGCTGTTTGGCGCCGCAAGCCTGGGAGGAGAATTAGAGGTGAGCTGGGGTGGGGAGGTGCCACATGGCTCCCCAGGCCAGGGTGGTAGGGAGCTGCCGTGGGGGTGCCTGAGGGCGGGGGAGGGAGCTGCCGCAGGGCTCCCCACCCCAGCTCACCTCTGCTACGCCCCCTCCCCGAGCACGCCGTCGCTGCTCCACTTCTCCCGCCTCCCAGGCTTGCGGTGCCAATCAGCTGTTTGGCGCCACAAGCCTGGGAGGGGAGGAGAATTAGAGCGGGGGTGG